TTGCCTTTGCCTTCATGTCGTCATCAAGTGAGGCAGGACTGCCACTGGTGTCCCCTCAAAAAACAAAACTGGTGCATGATGCCCCTGGGCTTACACAACACAATCTGTCTCCTAGATACATACAACACACAATGACCTACAGTGCCAGAAATAGTGATAATCTCATAATTGATGGCGCTTACATAAGTAATCCATGAGTATTTGGAGTTGATCAGAAATAATCTTAAAGCGTTAGGCAGTAACGCATCTCCAATGTGACTCATAAATGTCAAGTTCACTTCATCTTCTTTTCCCTTTGGAGTTTATCTGGCTCTGCCTGTTAGTGCTCTTCCAGTAGCAATTGCTCTGATGGGTGATTTAACAGTTATACAAGTATAATCTGCACTAAACTTAAAAGGTTTTGCACTTTTAAGACATTCAGGTTACCTATAATTCCAGATTTTTGGGGACTGAGGAGTTGCATTTTCATCCAGAAACACGTAAACCAACTTGCCCTAAAATGGGATAGTTCACCCAAAAATGAAAATTCTGTCACAGAAGAAATTTTTACAAAAAAAACATTCTTCTAAATATCTATATTTTCCACAGAAAGAAAGTCATACAAGTTTGGAATTACATGAGGGTGAGTAAATGATGACAAAATGATATTTTTTGGGTGAACTATCTCTTTAAATGGAAATTTCATACCAGCAGTGGTATTATAATAATAATAGTCATATATTAATATATTTCTACAACTTAAAGACATTCACACATTCAAAGTTGCCAACCATACCATTTTAAATTGGGGCTTTTGCTCTCTGATATCATGCTTTAGACACTCCTCACATCTCTTGTATACAAGCTTGCTTTCTCAGGATCTCTGTTCCTATGCTACGGCCCCCCTGGAGTCCCCCACCCCCTCTGGGTTCGGTTGCCCCCATTGTTCGTGTATCTGGAACGGCGCTCCTGGCTTCAAGAGACTTGAATGAGGGACACCCAACCCCCTCTACCCTTCTTCACCCACGGTCCAACTTTTTTTTCCCATTAAAGTAGCACTGTGCTCTTATGATGGGGCCCCGCACCTCTATGATCACACCCCCGACCCTCACACACACACATGTCGATAAAAGCAAATTCCATGTCTTTCCCAACCCCTTCTGAAATCCAGCTGCTGGGAAAGTTCATGGTCAGCTGATTGTGCTCTGCCCCCTCCATCTCGGAATAGGATTAAACAGAGAGGAGATCGGAGAAGAAGAGGAGAATGAGGCTGCTGGCAGATCTCTAGAAACAAGGCCGTGGCCACATCAGACTAACAAAACGTCTGGATCTCCAGTAAACATGACACTGCAAGTTAGGAGCAGGCCTGGAACCACCATAGACATTAAGAGGCACACACAATTTTTAGATTTGGTTCCCAATCTTAAGTGTATGATTCCTTCCTTAGAGTGTGTCATAGTTTGAGACGTCATGAATTAATGAAGGCTTAAGATCATGAATTATTTATTAGACACTACTGTTTAAAAGTAAAATTTGTCTCTTTTTTTTTATAAATAAATTAATACTTTAATCAACAAGGATACATTAAATTGATCAAAAGTGACAGTACAGAAATGTATAATGTTTTGCTGTGCAATAAATGCTCTTCTTTTGAACTTTCTATACATGGAAGAATCCTGTAAAAAATGTTTCATGGTTTCCACAAAAATATTAAGCAGTACAACTGTTTTCAGCATTGGTGATAATAAGTAATGTTTCTTAAGCACCAAATCAGCATTATAGAATGATTTCTGAAGGATCATGTGACACCGAAGACTGGAGCAATGCCATCACTGGAATAAATTACATTTTAAAATGTATTAAAATAGAAAAGTTATATTAAACTGAAATAATATTCCACAATATTACTGTATTTTCGATCAAATAAATGCAACCTTGGTGACCATAAGATACTTTTAAACATTAACAAAATCTTACTGATCCTAAAGTATAATACATATATAAAATTTGAGAGAACTTCTTCCACATCTGTCATTGTTAATCGTGGGAATTTATAGGCCAGATGAAAACTGCAGTTGACAGTTAAACAAAGGTTGGGAATGATACTATGTGCATCTGAGTGAGTGAGAGAACAAAGAAAGAAAGAAGAGATAGAAAAAAAATTGCACTGGGAAAAGTCACCTGGTGTGTTTTAATAATACTGACAGGAGAGGTCTGCATTTCTGCTGCAGAGTTTAACACACCCCTGCAGAGACCACAAGCACCTTCAGCCTCACCTAGCACATTATACTACACTACACAAGGCATTTGACCCATCATTTACATTTGGTTTCGACCATATTACATCACTCACCTCTTTACACCAAGACATCACCAATAAACTGTTAGCAACAGATATAACTATTTCTATAAGTGTGCCATCACATCATCTAACTAAAACCTGCTGTTGCATACTTATTTATCTTCATAATGCATGCATTACACTTGGACAGGCACGTGCACACACAGACATCAAAGGGGGCTTGAGCACCTGCCCTTTTTCTTCCTCGAGAGAAAGTGTCCTTTTTTCTGGGGAGTTTTTTTAATTTATTTTTTAAATAAACGAATATATGTATGCGTGTGTGTGTGTTTCTGTTTGCGCACAGCTGTCCCTGTCAAACAAATAAAAAAATCAAAATATCAGGTCGGGTCAGGAAATGTTGAGACTGTCGAGTCCCTCCGCGCCACAGCAGTGTAAGCGCACATTTGATCAGCTGCACATCACGTCACAGACATGCAGAGAGCCGCAGAAGTGAAGCCCTCCCTCCCTTTCCAGTCGTGTTTGTCTTGGTGTGGAGGTGAGTGGTGATGAACAACAGACTAAGCTACCTGTGCCTCGAATTTACAGCTAATTATCCTATCCATGACTCATGAGAGCTACCAAGTTAGCTAAAGTTTAGCTAAGGCAGGAAGTCTAGTAGGTTAGACCAGTGCGTGTTCTTTCACTGCATGATTCAGTTTATTAAAATTTATTTAGAATGATCACAAAATGCAACATATGGGGGCAGAAATTAATATATTTATATCATTTCATATAGTTAATAAGTATCACGCGAAGACTGACGTTTTTTACACCAAAAAGCAAAATGAGAAATGTGATATTGATTTTATACAGCAGTTCAATAAACAAGAATTTTATATTAAAACACTTACATTTTAGACACAATATTGACTGTCTTTGCTCTATTTTGCCAGCAAATATAATTTCAATTTGCTTCTCTGAGCAACATGACACTGTTTTGTTCCTGAATGAATCAACCGTTTAAATGATTCGGTTCAGTCGCAATGACTCACTTATTAAAAGTGACTTGCTCCCACCTACTGGCAGTTTTAATTTCACATTTAAACTATCTTTTCATTTTTTTAAATAATTTCAAATATCAGTATTTAACGTTTTATGTTTAAAATATCAAAACAGTATTAATGCATTTGTAACTGCAGTTTAAATACATTCATGTCCTGCATTAAACAATGTAAATGCATCAATGTCCCTTCTATGCAGCTTCTGTGTTTCCTCTGCATTGCAAAGATTAATTTTGTCAATACTGATTTTGGACTGGTAACAGCCCAAATGACTTATTATTCTAATTGACTGATCAGTTTAAGAATTTGACTGAAAAGATGATGCACACTTTTAGAAAAAAAAGGCTTAAAGGTAAAAATGCTCATAAAAGGTAAAAATCAATTTAAACTTATTGGAAAAGATTAATTTCTATCACTGCTGTGAACTAATCACCACACAGAATATGCAGAATATCAAAAACTTTAGGAGTCAGCTGTCCACGGTAGTCCTTAAGTTATCAGCACAATAACACACTATTAAAATCCCAGAAAATATTGAGATATACAATATTGCACATTCCGAATATATTTAATGTTTTGTTTAGAAAAAAGTTTAAATAAATATGAGAAGTGCCCTTTTTTCCACTTGAGCCCCTGCCCTACAAAATGTCTGTGAACGTCACTGCACTTGGATATCCTGGAAGAAATTTTAGAGCTAATAATAATCTTTAGGTTTGAAATGCTGTGTTAGCAATCACAAAACCTCTGAATGAAGCAGCATGCCATATTTCTCACATTAGAGGTGTGATTATCACACAGACTCTCACAGAAACACAATATTCCCCAGTCATCTTACCATATGCACAAAAGCTAGGAATATTTAGCACTTCATAAATGCATTTTTTTTTTTACTTTGCACTTAAGATGAATAAATTCTAATCATGATTTAATTCATGCAATATACAACACTAAACATGAAAACAAATACTAAAGATGAAGTTAGAAGCATGTATTTTCAATCATAAGTTTTATTTATTTTTTTCTACAGTATTTTTTTAACATTTCAGCTTGGTAGGGTGTTATTAAGTGCACTTGGCTATAACTCTAACACGATTGGCTAAGCTAATGATAAATATTTATTCTGAAGAAAATATCTTTTAAAGTTACATTTCATGGACAAAAACACAAAAATAGTGTAACATTTACCTTTAGGTTAGGAATTACATTATCTCCACATAGCCAAACAAGCTAAAAACAAAAAAGTGCAAAATATGATAAAGTGCCTATAATACAACAACAACGTCATAGTTTCCTCATTTTCAACAGCTTTCTCTTATTTGTATTGCTTATCTAATCTTTCCTGCCATTTTCTGGTGAATTAATATATTTAGCTGAGAACTAAACCAAGGACAAAAACAGCTCACTATTTTATTTTCCAGATTTCACACAGATAAAGTGTTCAGACAGCTCCAGATATATTACAACAGCATCAGAGCACAGTCCATAAGAGCACAATGGTGGCAAATCAAAACCATTGGTCAAAGTTCACGTTTTCACTCACGTTTCTAATCAAACACCATTTGACCAAAACAAGCTCCTCGATATGACCTTATGTCTGAGTTCAGATAGACATTAGCACGGAAAAACATAATTTGGATCACAAGCTTACAAGAGTGCAGCGATTATGACCTAGTTCCTACCTTCTGTAGGCTTGTAGGGTTGAGTTGGGTTTTGTCAATGATTTTTATTGCAACCTGAGAAGACACAAAGTTAAAAAAAATCATCAAAATGTAGCTGACACACTGACTTGACAACTAAATTGCATATAAAAGAAGCAATCACCTGGAAAATTATGCTAACTGTGCACACCTCAGTAGGTTGATGACATAATTGCTTTTGGTCAAAGTGTAAAAAAAGCTGGATGAGCATATTTAAAGATTTTTTAGATATATTTTTTTATATGTCATCTGGCTCAAAAACTATGGCACAGGTCAGTGTGCACTTTGTTTAGACACACTGAGGCAGCCATAATGTGACTGAGAACTTGAGAAGATTTACCTAAATGCCAATCAGAAAAGTCTTGTCAATCTTTATTTAAGTTCCTAACATAATACCGTCATCTCTCTGTACATCTTACCTCCCTGCCGGTCAAAATATGGCGTGCCAACTTCACTTTGGCGAAATTGCCCTTGCCGATGGTCTTGAGCAGCCGGTAGTTGCCGATGTGAGGCTGTTCGTCCGTACAGGAGGCAATGGAATTCCGGCAACGGGCTCCGAGTGAGCGGCTCGACCATCCCGAGCCCTTCTCTGAACGACTGGCTGAGAGAGAGGCATGCTGCGGGGTTGAAGAGAAAATGTTCATTGTTAATACATTATAGATCAAATCATGACCAAGATTTGTTTTCTTAAATATTTAAAACTGAAACATTCAACATATTCAGTGTAGAATATTCAGCACAACAATTCATAATCCTGCAAAATTCATGTTCGCAATGTGCAATTAAAGGGTTAATTCCCCCCCAAATAAATATTTTCTCAATATTTACTCAACCTCATGTCATTCCCAACCTATATGACTCACGTTTTATGGAATATTAAAAAAACATATTTTGAAGGACTGTTGTCCATACAATGTCAGTTAACGTGGACCAAAACTACATTCATTGTAAGGACAAAAAATTTTTTTTTTAAAAATTGAAATATCTTTTGTGTTGTGTTACTCATGTTTGGAATGACATGAGGGTGAGTAAATGATTTTGATGCATACAATTAACAGTACTGTTACAGTTAAATAAAACTATTACAAATCATTTTGATTATTTGAAATAAAGCTGAAATAAAATAAAATAAAATAATATTAGATTAAAAAATGAAACCTTATAAAACTTTGTGATTTCTCCAAGGACAGCTAATCTCTGCTTTGCTATACATTGCTGGCAAGTTTCATGTCTGGCTGTTCCAAGATCTTAAATCTAATCTATCCAGGAATGCATTGCAACACTACACGACACTCACACCTTGGCGCGACATGACGCATGTGGCATTCTTAGCTGGACGCTAACTGTATAATTCTGTGTGGATACAAGACCCCATATAATCACAAAGGAAATGCAGATTGTCTTATTACATTTTGAAAAAAAAAAATTAATTGCATGTACATGCTATATCTATATAAGGATATATTATATACAGTATATCAATATGAGGATCTTTATTTTCTATAGTCACATGATGACTCAAAAATTTTAATGACAGAGGATAAGAGCATATTTCTTCACACCAATAAGCCCGTTTTAATGTCTCTACATCCCCACACCCGCTATTCCCAGCAGTTTTGACCATTTCCTGCTGACATAGACCTCATCGCCTGTCACCCACCCATCCTCCTCCACCACCACACACTGCCCCAACCCGTCCAAACCACACGCATCGATTGTTCCACTGCTGCTCTCTGTCTGATCGCCCTTGCAATTTATATGAGAAAGGTGGGGGCAGGGGTATAAATGAAGGGGGTTTTCTCAGTGAAAGCAATATGCCACTGAAATAGATGGTTTAGATGGCAGAAGAAAGCTTCAGGACCTAATGACCACAGAACAATAAAAGATGATGAGTATATGCACTTTAAAAGTTTTAGTCTGAATAAAGTAATAATTAATCTGCTTCTTTTCATCTTCTTTTTCGTCCTCATGCAAAACCCTTGATTTTCCACTGAAATGACTGTATTTGTAAATGTGACTCTACCTTAACATTGTACTCTTGCTCCGAAAGGGATTTTTATTCAATGATGATATAAAAGGATCATTTTGGGTTCCCCTTAAAACCTTTCAGTGAACAGTTCCTAAAATAACAATTTTTTTTGTGTGAAGAACATTTTAATAATCTATAAAGAACCTTTTGTGGAATGGCAAGGTTCCGTGGATGTTAAAGGTTCTTCATGGAACCAGAGATGCCAAAAAAGAACCTTTGTGTAGCTAACTCTGAGCGTTGCTCAATTATAACTGCACATTTAAACATACATACTGGTAGTGATATGCAGTTAATAAAGATCCCAAGACATTATTCCACATAACATAATTCTAGAGACACACCCCAGACTGAGATAATAGACCGCCTATCTGGGTGGAGCCCTGCTCAGGGTAGGATAGGAGCACATGTGAAGGGGGTAGAGATGGGTCAGGGTCAGTCCATCCAGTCACACATCCTGCTATTGCATCTTATGACTTACTCCCAAAATCCATTTACAGGGATCTATGTCTTGTCCTGTGAAGCTTTGTATTTGGCACTACTGCTGCACCAGTATCCTCTGTGCTGATTTCTTTCACAGCGTTTCCTTTAAACGAATGCACGACAATGAGCTTGGGTCGTTCACAATATCACTATGCTATACTGTGTTGATGTGAGATAAAAGTGTGGGAAACAGGTGTACGCCCAAGCCAGGTGTGAAGAGCCCTGCCAAAACTCAAACCTGCATGGTTTCCTGTCTTGAATAGATGTTGTGCCATCTCCTCGTAACGGTTCTTTGGTGTGGCTTCCAGAGCAAATGCTTGCAGCAAAGCTACAGGCTTCTTAAACAGGTTCAGTGTACAAGGATTTATTGGTTTGGTCAATATTTATAGGCTTACGTTCACACATATGGAAATAAAACAAACAATATATTGACTTCTAAAGCTACTTTTTGTAATGTCTATTCCACAATTTACTTATCAGCCACAATAATAGGCTGCATGCAAAAACAAACATACAAAGTGATCAATGTAGTCTAATTCACAATCACAAGCAAATTAGTCTTATATAGTGGTTCTTTTTAGTGGATCAAAACCATACAATGTGACCAGTGTAGCCCGATTCCCAAAATGAATGACTCTCATTAGCCAGTTCTTTTAACAAATAGTTAAAAAAAGAGAAGTTTTAATCAGTCTGAAACACTGCCCTGCATGATTTACAGCATTAGCAGAAAGATAAATTATTTTGCACATAAACAAAATGGACATTATAACCAAATTATATCCAACTGAACCGGAATCAAATTAAGAGCTTGTGAATCAAAATCAAACTGAATTAAAAAATCTGTATTAATACCCAGTACTGGCACACAAATGCGATTAATTATTTAGCATCTCATGCAATTAATTCAATTATATTTTAACTGAATGACTCCTACTTTGACAGACTAGTTCAAGAGTGAGTGAATCAAGAGCTTGTGAATTGGAATGAAACTGAATCTGGAAATCTGAATCAATAATAGCCTGGCACTGGCAATTAACTGTGATTAATTATTAAGAATATCGGAATATTATTCAATTAATTCGATAACATTTTAAACTGAATGACAGTCTTAACTTCACATTAATTTCAACATTGAAAATTCATATACATATTGTGAGTTCATCAAATCAAGAGCTTGCGAATCAGAGTCAAAATGAATCTGGAAATCTGTATCAATATCCAGCCCTGGCAAATAACTGATTAATTATTCAGTATTCAGTATTCATCCAATAACATTTTCAAGTGAATGACAGCCCTACTTTGACAGATTCATTTTATCATGAATAATTCACATGGTTATTGTGAGACTGTGAGAAATGAACATGTAATCTTCCTCTGATAAACAGATGACCCAATTCTAAGTCACTGCTGTTATACTGGCTCATGCCTTGTGACTGAAATGCCATTACCTCTCTGCTACTTGTTACCCTTTAGTAACTGTCTCTGCCATGAGCGAAACCATCTGAATAACTAATGGTGCAGCAGTCACAGACAGGCAGCGATCCTCATGACTACAGAGCAAAAGTCTCACCTTGGCATCAGATGAGAGGGCCAAACAAAAAAGCCCCAGCAGAGGCCCATCTGCTAACTGCACTCTGCAAACCCCATCCCCACCAACTAGTAACATAACCCCCTCATGCGCACGCACACACATTAGCCAAATACACAACATCAATATCAGTTGTCAAGAGCAACAATCGTTGTGGTAACGAAACAGGGGGTGGTGCAATACTTCCACAATGACAAGCACAAAAACATGCTGATTGTGTGATTGTCGCTCATGGTCTAAACACACCCCCTCTTGATTCAAAAAACATGCTCAAGAGTTAAAGGTTAGATAAACATGTTTGTTTACCTATAGTGGCCGGACAAACTAAAAGATAATTTCCTTAAGACAACAAAATGTGTAAATTTACACCGACTCGTAGACAGCACCTAACATCACTAATGTTACCACAACAAACTAGTACCACTATGAACAAGACATGCCATAGGTTTTCTCTTTGTAAAAGACACCCCTTCAACTTCATTGCTTTCCTCACATACAACAGACACAATAACCTCTTTTATTCAGAACATGAGTGTCTAGGCCTAGGTTTCACAAGTTCCTCAGAAACAAGCCACTAAGCTTGTGGTTCCCTTGCCTATCTGACCTCCACATTGGATCAGCTTTCCTGCTTTACCAAGGAACAATAAAAAAACAATCCTCTTAGTGAATTTCTTTTGGCCGAAAGTGGAGGCATAATGTCCAGTCACAACTATCATTTAGACTGAGGGTGATACTGTGTTCCTGTTTCTCTTGAAGGGGTTAGAATATACATTTTAATAATTTTATTTGACAAACTTTAACAACCATTTCCACCCCCTCTCTGACCCTTAGAATTAAAAAAGCTATTTGTTGCTGCTGTGCCTTGAGACTTTGTATGTGTGTGAAGACACAGTGCTCACACATGCAAGCTGTTACTCTGTGGTAGTGTTGGGTTGTTCTTGAACGATTCGTTAGTTTTGAACGATTCTTTAATGTGACTCGGAAGAACGAGTCGTCTCAGGGAGTGATTTGTTCATGCGCAACATCCTATAGGTTCTGTACTGGAATTAGTCAAGTAGTTCACCTGGTTTGAGTCTTCGGGTTTTTCCGAGTCGTTCATTCATCACGTGACAGCCCCATAAGTTTAACCAATGCAGTCTGAGCCGGAAAGAGAATTGATTAGTTCATCTCTCGAGTCTTCGGGTTTTTCCGAGTCGTTCGTTCATCACGTGACAGCCCCATAAGCCCAAACCCGAAGACTTGTCGGATAAGAGGTGAGGTGAGCTAATCATAGACTGAAGACTCGGGTAAACAATTAATTAATCTTTTCTGTTTCTTATAACGGTTTTGTATTGTTTGTAGTGTGATCAACGTTTGCGTAAGTAGTAGACATAACACGTAACATTTTAATTATATTTTGTTAAAATGAACGAAATGAACGAAATGACTCGAAAGAAGATTTGTTCATTTTGCTGAACGAGACTCAAAGGTCCGAGTCAGTAAAATGATCCGAACGTCCCATCACTACTGTGTGCTATAGT